CAGGCGTTTGTCCCAGAGAAATGAAAATTCACATGAAAGTCCACATGTGAGTGAAAGTTTTTGGCAGCTTCATTACTGCCCCAAACTGGGACAGCCAGATGAGGGTAGGGCATCCACACTGTAGACTTCTCAGCAATGAAAAGAAATGAGCATAGGACTCACAATTTGCCTGAATATCCAGAGAATCATACTGAGTGGAAAAACCCAGCCCCCAAAGGTAACATGGGCTTCCCAGGTGGTGCTCAGTTCAGTTTAGTCGCTCAGTCATGTCCGACTCTTTGCTACCCCATGAACTGCAGCACGCCAGGCCTTCCTGTCCATTATCAACTCCTGGAGTTCACCCAAACCCATGTCCATTGAGTCGGTGATGCCATCCAACCATCTCATCCCCTGTAGTCCTCTTTTCCTCCTGCCCTCGATCTTTCCCAGCATCAGGGTCTTTTCAGATGAGTCAGTTCTTCACATCAGGTGGCCAAAGTATTGGAGTTTCAGCTTCAGCATCAGTCCTTCTAATGAATATTCAGGACTTATTTCCTTTAGGATGGACTGGTTGCGCTAGTGGTAAAGAATCCGCCTGCCAATGCAGGAAATGCAAGAGACATGAGTTTGATCCCCAGGGCAGGAAGATCCCTTGGAGGAGGGCATGGCAACCCACTCCAGTATTCTTGCCTGAAGAATCCCATGGACAGAGGGGCCTGGCAATCCACAGTCCATGGGGTCACAAAAGTCAGACACGACTGAGTGACTGAGAGCACACTCAAAGGTAAAGTACTGCTATGGTCACAATTATATGAAAGTCTTAAAATGATAAAATCACAGATATGGAGAGCAGGTCAGTGGTTGCAAGGGTAGGGATGGTGGGCAGATGGATCAGTGAGCGGGGAGATGGGTGTTAGCCTTCTTAAATGTTACTGTCTTGACCATGGAGGTCATGTGAATCTGCACATGTGATAAACTGCATGGGCACACACGCACTCACATACATACACATGCTGAAGTCTGAGTGAGGGCCAGGGCGTGCACCAGTGTCACACCCTGGTGTGACCCTGCATTTGTGAGAGGTTACCACTGGGGGAAGTCAGGGGATGGGTCTGTGGGATGTCTCTGTTTTACGTCTTACAACTGCATGTGCGTCTACAATCACGTCAAAATAAAAAGATATCTTAAAAAGATATTTCTTCCAATGAGATCTTATCAGGAAGCACATTGAAGAGTTGCTTGGAGCAGTGCTTGCCTAGGAGGTTCAAGGTTGTCCAAAGCCCGGCCTTCCTGCTTCCTGCCCACCTAGGGCCAGAGATGCCTCTGTTACCCCAGGCCTCAGTAAGCACCAGGTCACAATCCTCTTGGGTTTCTTCTTGTTGCATCTCAGTTGAACCTTTTTTCTGGGAAACTCTAATTTTGGTTCCACTTTCTGGTGCACTTGAAATAAATGAAACTCCATTTCTTTATGGAAAACATCTATATTACATAATTTTTCATAATTATTATTAATCTGAACTCACGGGCACAGGGTCAATTTCAAAGCTAGGGAAAGAGGATTTGATGGAAAAGACTGCTTCCTTAAGACCGGTTTTGCTGGACAGGGATGCACATCCAGCACCCACATGTCCTGAGAGCAGGAGCGCGCAGAGCCGGTGAACCTGCTCGCCTGCATGCACTACGCAGACACTTCTGCAGGTGCAGCTTCTGCCTGGAGGCAAGAGATGGTCCCCCTCCAGGGGTGGGCACAGAAGATTTTGGGGACACAGAACAATGGGGCGTCAAGGCAGAGTTTGGAAAGGCAGAGGTGGGGTGTGTGCCTGGAAGTGGCGGGGCACCCACCCAAGCAAAGCTCCAGTGGCGAGACATTCATAGGGCGGCCAGCGGACACGCCTCACCTTCTCATCTTCAGCCTCGCATGCAGTCTCCCAGGTCTTGGTGGCCCCTGGCCAGTTCCCTCCAGGATTTGGGACCATGATCAGGAGGGGACTGAAGGTCCCAGGCATGGGGAGGGACTGCTGCTGTGGCCCCATCTGGGTGGGGACCCAACATGGCAACCACTGCCCCCACGTGGTCATTTATATAAATACAACGAGAAATTCAGCTTCTCAGCTAGATGTGAGTTGGACTATGAAGAAAACTGAGCGCTGAAAAATTGATGCTTTTGAACTGTTTATGTCGGAGAAGACTCTTGAGAGTCCCTTGGACTGCAAGGAGATCCAACCAGTCCATCCTAAAGGAGATCAGTCCTGGGTGTTCACTGGAAGGACTGATGCTGAAACTCCAATACTTTGGCCACCTCATGTGAAGAGTTGACTCATTGGAAAAGACCCTGTTGCTGGGAAAGATTGAAGGCAGGAGGAGAAGGGGACGACAGAGGATGAGTTGGTTGGATGGCATCACCAACTCTAAGGACACAAGTTTGAGTAAGCTCCGGGAGTTGGTGATGGACAGGGAAGCCTGGCGTTCTGCAGTCCATGGGGTGGCAAAGAGTCGGACATAACTGAGTGACTGAACTGAACTGAACTGAACAGCTGTATGAACCAGAATTGTGTGTGAGGCCCTTGCGACTCAGCAAAACCAGAGAGGGCTTCATGGCATGGAGGGACCCGGGGGTCGGGGAGGATGTGGGGTGACCTGGGATCTGGCCCCCAGCGGCTGGCTGACGTCCCTGCCGCAACATCCCAGACCTTAGCCGACTCCTACCCGGCTGAGTCAATACTGAATACATCTTTCCACTTGTTTTCCATTAGAACATGTGTCTGAAACCCTTCATTAGCCTATCATTCCAGAGAATAATGACTAATTTCTGGCGGTAGTTTTTCCTTATCCCACAAAAGCACTGTGTAAAACCTTTTATTATTGTAATTTACTGGGGTGAGAGAAGGACTTATAGAGACTGTTTCCATATCCCGGGGAGCCTCCTGTGTCGAGGAGGTGGGCCCTGTTCTGTCTGGACATGGCCTCCTCCTCCTGGACCAGGGCGTCAAGCCAGGCCCAACAAGGCACCGTGCAGCTCCATCCTGGCTTTGCACAAAGAGGTCGCATCTCTGGTCCCCTCTGATGGTTATTCTGGGACCAGAAATGGAACTGGCACCCAGGGGCTCCGAAAGTCACCCAACATTTAGTGCAAATAGCCCTGCAAAGGTATTGAGTACCCAAGGAATAAAGGGCCAGCTTTCAGCCTGCCCAGGCCACGTCCAGAGATCCGAGGATGCTCCAAGGCTTAAAGGCTTATCAGGATTTTGAGGGGAAGATGAAGCAGTTTGTTGTTTTTGTTATCCTAATGAGTAAAGGCAGTCATGCGTTTGGGAAAACTGTCTCATTGATTTGTTCAAAAATAAGATGTGGGAGACTTGATTTGAGGCACCTTCACAGAGTGTCCTGGGTCTTGGGGAGAGAGGACCCACTGCTTCCATTAACAAGAATGTCCCCACCCCCCTCACACCCACCAAGCCTGACACCCACTCTCCACCCTGCTCCTTAAAGAGCTGGCTGTCAGCAGTCCTCATTCGCTTTCTTTGGCTGTTTGTAGCTAATTTGGCCACCCACCTGCCCCTCAGGGGCCGCAGGGCCCAGCTGCCCGAGGTTTCTGCAGAAATAATGTCACATTGCTTTCCCTTTGCTGACATCAGGCTGGAGCAAGCCTCCTGATTCTGAGGACAATCAGTTGTAGACGTATTTCACCTTGTGGAAGCAGCAGCCCCTGGAGACGGAGCTGTGACAACTGCCTCCAGGGAGAAGAGATGATAAATGTTTGCTTTCATGCCCCTCTGCATGCTGGATGCCTGCTGACCCCTCCTCAGAGGCCCGGGAAGTCTTCCCAGGATGGGCACCACCGGGGGCTGGGGAGGGGCAGCCTCTGTGATGTTCAGATGGCAGGCAACACCTTTACTGTGCGTATGTTCCCAGTATTGCACGGGGCATCACTCATGAATCAAAATGACCTTTTGTTTCTCTCAAGTTCAAATGTAACCAGAGTCCGAATTTTAGTGGCAGCTTCCAGCAGCCCTTAGCAGGGGCCTCAGCAGTGGTGCTTGGCTTAGCTCCACACTGCCCCCTGCCCCTGCCTGCCCCAAACTGAGTAGTTGTCCTGAGGACAACTGCCCCCGCCCCTCCCCCAAGTCAGGAGACTGGGGGGCTGGGTTTCTTAAACCTGAGCAAGTGCAGAGTTACTTGGAGCTTGGCTGCCTCCTCGGGGCCCCACCTGCAGAGTCTGAATCAGCGGGTGGCCACCAGCTATGCACTTATAACACGTTCCCAGGTGATGCTGGGAGGCCTCTGAGCTGTTGTGCCAGCATCCACTGGGGATTCGCGCCCATGTCCACACCGAGGGGTTGGGACTCTTTGCTCCACCTCCTCAGGCCTTGAGTCCTGTCTGAGCTGAAGGGGGAGGGAGGCACCCACTTCTAGATCATTATGGGATCCAGAGACCAGACATTGTAAAGTGGTCATTATCATTTATGCTGGTCAGGAGTCCTTGGGAAGACGGGTCAGCTCTTGGGTCAGCTCTGAGGGGGGCCAAGGGCCTCAGCCACACAGCTCACTTCTTTAGGCCGAGGGACTCAGCACTCTCAGGGGCTTCCTGCTATGCCCAAAGGTGCCCAGGAGGCCTCAGATGGCCAACCTCCTCCCTGACTGGCCCCAGGACCTTCGCACATGCTCTCCCTGCCGCCAGACTCCTTCCCTGCACTTCTGAGTGCTGCTCCTGATCACAAGTCAGCTCCTGGCCCACAGGTCACCTCTGCAGAGGAGCCTTCCCTAATCTACAGCCGTCCCCATGACTCAGCGCCCAGGGGTCTCCTGAGCCAAATTGTCACTGCAGTGGCTCTGGTCCCTTGTTTCAGCCCCTCTGTGTCTTCCCTGGACTGTGAGGTATGTGGAGCAGGGATGCCCACTCCCTAGTGCAAGCAGCGGGTGCTTAAATAAACTCAGAGGCGATGAGTCCCAGGTGTCATCATGGCGGCGGGGGCTGCGTGCCCCTCCTCGGGAATGTCCCTCCCTCGGGGCTCAGGGCTCACCTGGCTTGGAGCCTTCGTCCACGGAGCCGTTGTACACCTGGTTGAGGAACTCGGGGCGGTTGTCGTTCATGTCAATGACATAGATGTACAGGTCGATGGGGTTCTCCACCTTGTTGCCGTTCATGTCCACAGCATGTGCTCGGAGCTAGAAAGAAAGCAACATATGCTGTCAGGGCCGGCAGCTGCCCCCGGTGGGGATGTGCCTGACCCTAAGCCTTGTGAACCACCAAGAGCAGATTTCCTGTGACCTACAGCCCTGGGGTGGGGTGACAGAGCAGTTCAGGGCCACCCCAAGGGGCAGCCTGGGGAGTGCGGGGTGGGCTTGGGACACGTCATGAGCCTGAGTTCTCTCCTCTGTGGGAATGGGGAGGCATCCTGGGAGGGTGAAACAGAGCGACCATGGGAGCTGGAGGCTGACCCGAGGGTCCATGCCGATATCCATCCCCGCACCTCTGATGCTGAGGACTCACGTCTACCTAGAGCAGCTGCAGAAAGGCTGTGTGTGCTAATGGAGCAGGGGCTTAGGCCCCTTGCTGCCAGGAGGCCAGGCCTGGGGGAGACCCAGAGAAGAGACACAGCGGGTCCTTGAACTTGGGCATCCACTTCAAGTCTACCCTGTTGGCCTGGCTTATCTTTCTTGGGGCAGCAGAGAGGAAATGGGTCCAGGGGCCCTGGGGTGGAAGGCCCCACTCTAATGGGGAAGGGGCTCCAAGGAGCCCGATCTGGGAACAACTCAAGGTACAAAGGGTAGGTCCCCCAACTTGGGCTGGGGGGGCCCACAGGGGCTGCTCAGACTCCCCTCTTCGATTTTTGGATTTTTATCTTTTATTCATTCATTCACTCATTAATTCATTCACTCCATCAATATCTATTGAGGGCCCACCTGTGGCAGGCACTGGCTGTGCCCTAGGCCATGGCTTCATGAGACCCGGGGCTGCCCTGGGGCTTCTCATGCAGGAGATGGCCCCTGAGAAGGCATGTGACCGCAATGACCTGTGGGGTGGGGAGGAGGCCAGTCAGGCCTCTCGGAGGAGGTGATGCTGGAGCTGAGCCCTGGACGAGGGGCCCAGAGGACAGCAAGCGTGGGGGCCTCCATGGGGGATGCAGTGTGGCTGAGCCCCACGGGCAGCAGAGTGTGCTGGAGTGGGGCCGTGGGGGCCCTGAGACTAGACAGAAAAACCACACTTGGAGGTGGAAGTGGCTGGCCTGTCTCTCCAGACCAGCACTGTGACTGTCACACAGCCATGCCCTCATCTCTCTGTGGAAACCATGTCACCCTCGAAACCAAACACACTGGACTACAGGGTCCTTATGCCAAGACAGAGCCAAGTCAAGGGTGCCCAGAGGAGCCTCCCGCAGGAGGGGTCTCTGAGCTACAGGCCCCGCCTAGTCATCAGGCAGTCTCCTTCATGCCCTGCGCCCCCAGCCACTCTGCCAGCCTTGGCGGAGGGGAGGGTGCCATCCATGACTGCAGGAGGGGCCTTGAGTTATCCCCAGCCTTGGCCGACAGCCCTGTGTAGAATTTTCCCCTTGAAACCATGTGTTTGGGGGGAGCTCAAGGCAGGCTTCGTGGAGGAGACGATCTAGGTCATCACAAGGAGAAAAATGAGCTCAGGTTCCTGGGAGCTGCAGCCTGCAGAGCCATGTAGCTGCCCCCTTCAAGACAGATCAGCCTGAAGTATCACATTTAAACATCTCAGGATGGGGATGCGGGTGCGGTTGTTTTTCCCAGCCGACCGCTCCCCACGCCCCCCGGCCCCCCGCCCGGCCATCAGGTCACCGTTCCTGGAGCCCGGTTTGCACCTCCCTGCTGTGGAGGTCCTCCCGTAGGCAGCCAGTGTGTGCTTGCTAAGTCACTTCAGTCGTGTCTGACTCTCTGTGACCCCATGGACTGTAGCCCACCAGGCTCCCCTCTGTCCATGGGGATTCTCCAGGCAAGAATACTGGAGTGGGCTGCTGTACCCTCATCCAGGGGATCCTCCTACGGGCGGCTGGGCCATCCTTCATCTTGTCAGACGTGGCCAGGCAATAAGGCGCCGAGCCAAAGGTTGAGGAGGCTTTGAAAAAAGTAATTCTGAGCTAAAATTAAAGTTATTATCTTCTAACTAAAGTGATACCCTGGTTAGGCCGCTATCTTTAGCAGCAGGAGCAGTCCGAGTGGAGCTCTCAATGGAAAGTGGCTGGCAGGGTCTCCTCATCCCCCTCCAAAAGCTTAAAACAACATTTGATAGATTCTGTTGGAAATCTCTAAGAGCCCACCCATCCCCCTCCATCTCTCAGGCTGGACACACAGCTGCAGGCTTGGGGATGGGGGTCTGTCTTGGTGTTGGAGACAAGAAATGCTTTGCGACTTGGAGATAAGAAATGTCCTGAGACTTGCAAATCTGGGTGTCTTGTGCAGAGTAAATTTCCTGCGATGTGCTGTGCTTGCCTGCCGTGTGCGCGATCCTGTTGTCTTCCATCAACCTTGTGCTGGCTCTGACTGGGAGTGCCCCGAGACCTCCACAGGCACTGCCTCACCTCATTGTTCACAAGAACCGTGAGACAGGTCTGTCGGATCTCTATTTACAGGCAGGGAAACAGAGGCTCACGAATATCCCGCCCAAGTTGACGGCTCGTGGCCCCAACAGCAAGGCTTCCTAAGGAAGCCATGAAGGCACCTTCTGGGGAATCGCCTTGCAGAGCAGACAGTGATGCTCATCTGTCTCGTGATCACAGGCTTCGCACAGTCATCTCCAGGGACCCGCGTCCACGGTCTGTCAGCTCCCTCTCAGGTGGGAGATTCTGCCCCACCCTCTCAACAGCCACGATAACGGTGGGACTCAGGACAGGATTATACGGCACCCCTCGGGGAAGCAGAGAGGACTCTGGGATGTGAGGTGCAGGTTCCAGGTGGGAAGGTTACAGGGGTCACCCCGTGATCGAGTCACGTCATGTAGGGGGTTGACTTTATTGGCAAGGAGACTGTCTGGGTGGACAGAGGTAACTAAAATCAGAGCCCCACTAAAATCGTGGACTCTAAAATCAGAGTGATCCTCTGGCCCACAGCAGGTGAGGGATTGGGGAGCTGTCTCTCAGTCTACTGCCAAGTGGGTCTCCTTTTCCAAAACGTGGCTCCTGCCTTCCCAGGGTGTGGTTTGGGGGTGCAAGGAGAGGGTGTGTGGTGCTCTTGGGATCGAGCTGCTCTTGGGGTGCCCAGGGCTGGGGGTCCTCAGAGTGGACAGTGACACCCGGGTGTGGCTCTGAGCCGTTTGCACCGAGGTGCACAAGGGCCTGGGGAGGCCCAGATGGCCATGAGATGAGGCCCACAAGTCCTCCAGCTTCAGCCTCCTGTCCGTCCCACTTCACAGGGGGCGAGTGTGTGACCCTCATAGTCATTCGGGCCTTGTACTCAGAAGGGTCTGTGTGTGGTTTGACGCTCGGCCATCACCATCTTAAAACTCATAGTCAGCTCAGAGGGGCCCCCATTGCATCTTGTGCTGGGCTCAGAAATTCTGCAGCCATCCTGGGCTAGGAGCTGAGCAGTTGAGAGAGGAAAGCCTGTGACTGGCCCGCCCCCAGTGGTGGGTTCTCTTCTCTGCCAGGGGATGTGGTATGGACAAGCCTGCCGCGTGGAGCCTCCCTTCTCATCCAGGAGGTGGACAGTGAACCTGGAGTATGAAGAGCAGGGTTCACATCTGGCACTGCATGCTGAAGCCAAGTGAGGTCAGTGCCAGTCCATAGATGACACAGGGCGGAGGCTGTGAGTGCATCCCCTCACCTGAAGGTCTGTGAACACAACCCGGGAGCTGGGAGTTCTGACGCCCTGGCTGTAGCCACAGAGGCATCCTTACCGTGTGCTGGGCCCTGTCCTGAACACCACAGGGATGGTTACCCTGAGTCCTCCGAGCACACGCTGAGGCAGCCTGACTGTTTCCCCTCTGCAGGAGAGCATGGAGGTCGGAGGGGTTAAGGGCACAGGTCTCAGCTGCTGGGTGGGGCTGCCCAATTCCGCCCCCCAGGTCCGGCTCCAGCCTCTGCCTCCCGCAGGTACAAACGCTCATCCCACGACGAGAAGGCAGAGTCCAAGGACGCTAGGGCGGGCAGTGTGAGAGCCGTGTGCCCACCGAGCTCTAGGGCCAATTGTGTGCCAATAGGCCAGGAGGCCAAGTGGAAAGTTGTGGACGGTCCCTTTAACTGAGCCTCACAGCCTTCACTTTCTCATGGTTTTCTTCTCTCCACTGGCAGCTCCCCATGAAAGCAGCCGCGCTTGCTCAGAGCCGCCTTTCTGCTCTCAGAGGAAGGGGCAGAGGGGCCGGGATGCGTGTCTGGAACTGGAGAGGTGGGGGTGACACAGCAGCTGCAGACCCCTCCCCCAGCAGAACTCCTGGCTGGTCACGTGGGTCCACGGCTTCTGACCAGTGGCTCCCCCAGTGTGTCCCAGACCCTCCCGGCATCACCGGGAACATGTTATTAGAGCACATTCTTGGCCCATCTGCTCTGTGAATTGCACAGCCCGGGGAGGCGCCCTGCAGGCAGCTGGGCTTTTCTGATATGGACTTGGGTTTGCATTCCCCTCCAACCCCTGCCTTAGGAGCCCGAGTCCAGGGACACTCACGTGGTAGGAGGCTCGCTCCTCCCGGTCCATGGGCCGCGTGACGTACATCCGGCCGGACATGGAGTCGATGCTGAAGACCTCCATGGGGGGCTGGTCGGCGCCCACGCCTGTGATGCTGTATCGGATGGGGATGTCGTTGTCCTTGTCGGACCGGATCTGGAAGGGGGAGCAGATGGGGGTGGGGGAAGGTCAGGCTTCTTACCTGGACCTTCTGCTCATCCCACTGGATGGCCTCGCATGACATCTCTCCCAGGGACATGTGAGGCCACAGCCAGCGCTTGGTCCACTCGGGGGACCAGAAGGGCAGGTGAGGCCAGGGGTTTACTGGGAGCCTGCAGAACATGTCCGGTGAGCCCCAGGTGACAGGGAGGAGGGGACACAGTATTCCAAGAGGAAAGGGTCTGCAGGGAGCTCGGCAGAGGTGAGGACGCCCATGGTAGAGCCTCAGTGATGGTCTGAGATGGCCGAGGACCTGGCACAAATGCCCCTCACACCAGACCTCAGGAAAGACAAGGGCGAGGACACAGCTCACTCCACAGAGTTTTTAGGGAAAAGATCAGGGCCCAAGACACTTGTGCCTCCGAGTGATCATCTGTGCAGAAAGGCAGTGGACATGTTTGGATGCACAAAGACACAGAAAATGTCCCCTGTTCCTGCTCTGGTCCTCCTCCCTTGCCCTGAGAGGGGGTCACAGAGAAGACTTCGAGAACAGGGGTAGCCTTGGAAATGCCAACCCCCACCCCGGCATTTGGACACAGAAACACAGACCTGAAAGGTGTTGTCAACGTGGTTACAGAGCTGAGTACAGGCACAAACAGTGTTTACAGAAACTGTATATTGTGGAAAACAACAATTTAATTATGGTGAAAAGTGAAAATGATAGTCACTCAGTCATGTCCGACTCTTTGTGACCACATGGACTGTAGCCTGCCAGGTTCCTCTGTCCATGGGATTCTCTAGGCAAGAATCCTGGAGTGGGTAGCCACTCCCTCCTCCAGGGGGTCTTCCTGACCCAAGGACCAAATCTGGGCCTTCTGCATTGCAGACAGACTCTTTACTGTCTGAGCTACCAGGGAAGCGCTCAATAATGGTGATCTGGGTCCCAAATCTAAAGTAAGCTAGCAAAGCCTGAGAGTTGGGTGAAGCAATGGAAAGAACAGAGAAAAAAATGCATGATTCTGTGCTTTACATGGGTTGGGGGTTGGACTATGCAGACAGCCCCTCACTTTTGACCAGATTGTTAGATAAATGCAAGACTATAGGAGATAGCAAGGGCACCTGCAGAATTAAACATAAGGTGCATGTCTTTCATTCAGATGAAGCAGAGGTCCTGGTCATGTAAGGGGCAGTTGACGGGCAGGATACCATGTAAGACAAGCTTCTCTGATGGTGAGAGATTGTAAATAAGCCACAGGGAGGTGAAAGGACTAACTGGTGGAGCCAAATTAAGATTAGCATAAACTCTGAATACACCTTTAGAAAAGACAACTTTTAAAAATCAAAGCCCAGGGGACCGTGGCAACATTTTACAAAAAAAATGGACCACAATAAAAACCCAAAAAAAATTCCACAAAGCAAAATTGACCAGGACTTTTTACTAGAATAATACAATTAAAATTTAAAGATGATTTTTAAAGAGATATTTTAGAAAACATTCTGAAGTAACCACAGGTTAAGAATCAAAACTGCATTTAGAGGTGATTTAAAAAAAGCAATGACAATGAAACAGTGAAACCCAAGGAATTTGGCCAGAGACTGAATCAAAACAAACCCTTAACTTCAAATATTTTCATCATTAAAACAGAATTACAGTGAATGAACTGAGCATTTATATCCAGAAGGAAAGGAATGACAAAGCAGGATATGGTGAACACCCGAGTAATTAAGACAAATGCAGAAATTTCTGAATCTGAAAACAGAAAAGTTGGAAGGACTGACAAATAGATGCAAGAGCTGTACTCTGGGGGAAAAATTCATAAGAAATAGATGTACCTTTGGCAAGCTTAAGAGGAAAAAATAAGACTTAAAAAATCTATTTTATTCTTTATATTTTATGCAAGCCAAGTTGAAAATCCTGATGAACGGGTTATTTTTTGAGAAAATATAAAACTTCACAGTTGGCTGGAAGGAAGAACAAACGTGAAGGGACTGCTAATTCTTCAGGAAATTCCTCGGCAAAGGGCTCGAGGGTCAGGGGAGCTCACCTAGGAGGTGTTTAAAGTCTTCCATAGAAGAGGACATATAGAGAAAACACCCGCCTTGGCTTTACAAATCCTCCCCGGTACCATTCTCCTAAGACCACAAAGTAAGAGAACTGCAGACAACTCCCCCTGGCCAATGGAGGTGTGACGGTCAGCATGGAGACACCAGCGGGTGGGGTAAACTCACCAGAGCTGCCTTCATCAGCTGAGCAGAAGGGCCCAGGGTGACCAGAGAGAGTCCTGGCTAGGAGCTACCGCCCAGCAACCTCCCAAGAGCCACGTCAAATGAGGTCAGGCTTCCTTTGCAAACAAATTGTTTTTACCATGATTATCTGATTATCTTAGAAATGGGGGTGATTATAGAGAGAAAAGTTAGGTTTTGGTAGAACTCTGTGCCTTGAGATTCTAGTCCTGTTTGTAGTCTTTGAGGTTTTATTTTTTACCTGTAACTGAACTGGATTTAACTTCTAGTTTCTTGAAATACCTGGCTACATGGTTCCAGACCAATGCTTCCAATATCCTCCCGCGCTTCCGACTTAGAATCCCTAAGAACTGTGCTGCTGCGTTCAGTCGCTCTGTCGTGTCTGACTCTTTTTGACCCCATGGACTGTAGCCCACCAGGCTCCTCTGTCCGTGGGATTTCCCAGGCAAGACTGCTGGGGTGGGTTGTTATTTCCTCCTCCAGGAGATCTTCCTGACCCAAGGGTCAAACCCGAGTCTCCTGAATTGGTAGGCAGATTCCTTACCTGCTGAGCCAACTGGAAGCGCTAAAAACGAAGCTGCCCTTTCCCCACAGCCCTGCAAACTGAGGCTGGATGAGTGGTGTGAACTTCAGGGAAGCAGCTGAAAGATCTCACGCACAGACAGCCTGCATGACTGCTGCCCTGCCAACGACCACTCAGAAGGTTCCCTGGACCAAACACGATCCCACCAGAGGCATCCAGACCACAAAGATGCTGTGAGCTCGCCATCCAGAAATCATCTCGCCTGGCTGCCTCCCACCCCAGGGCTCGGAAACAGGTCTGCTCTAACCAGTAACTTTGATTCTCTTTGGCTTTCATAGAGATGCCTCCTATCATAACCTGACTGTATGCCTGCTCTGGAGCCTGTCCACAACCCCGCCCCCCGAAATGAGGCAACTGTTTACTGGACTGACCTCCTCTTAGGACTGAGAGATGGGTTCAGGGAGATGGAGCAGCTTGCCAGCCCAGCTTTCAAGCCTAGAAACTGCTTGGGGGAGTGTAAAGGCAGGGATGAGGTTAGCGTGAGGTCCCTGCCATGTGCTGCTGGGTGCAGTGACGTTTCTGCTGTGGGCACTTGAGAGCCACCAGCTGCAGGAGGGGCTTTCTCTCTGAGTTCCCTCATCTACCTGGAGAAGAGCCTCAGAGGGGCTCAGGTGTCACAGCCCCGCCCCCCCCAACCCCCACTGGAGGAGGGATTATCCACCGAGGAACATCATTGCCACCAGTCCTGGAAGGGGGTCTGGAGGAGGGCAGACCTGTCACATGACGGCACCTTCCACCTCTCCTCCGAGGGCCATCATCTTTCCTACAAATCACTTCCTCTCCCCCTTTCTCTGGGTTGGAAATATCCCCTGGAGAAGGGAATGGCTACCCACTCCAGTATTCTTGCCTGGAGAATTCCAAGGACAGAGGACCCTGGCGGGATATAGTCTATGGGCTCACAAAGAGTTGGACACAACTGAGTGACTAACACTTTTACTTTCACTTCCTCTTAAACCTGAATTCTAAGGCATCTTGGAGAGCTGCTCATTTTCCCCCTGGTCTCCCTCAAGAGTGCACGAGGCACACATGTTAATAAACTTCTGTTTTTTCCTCCTCTTGTTTATATGTCTTCTATTACAGGGGTCTCAGCCAGGACCTCAGAAAGAGGAGGGAAGTTGACTTTTCCTCCCCTACATGCCTAGCAGGATTTACCTCAGAAACTAAAGACAGCTTTCTCTTGGGCAGCTGATCTCTGTAGCAGGACAACTACCACAGGATGGTCTCCATGGAGGTGCCTCAGAGATTTGATAATGAACATCCTTTCCAATTGAATTTGGACCTTTCAGCACAAACTACCTGAAAACTCTGCTTCTGAGAAAATTCGGCTTAATAGAGAACCCCTTTCCTAAACCAGCTGTGACTGTTTACACATTGGAGGCGACCCCACCAGGGCAGGAGCGTGGGGATAGGGTCACTGGCCACCCTGACCATGATGGTGGCTTCCTACCTGATACATTAGAGGATGGGGGACAGAAAATGTCAGGGACAGTCGGCAAGAAGGAGGCAATGCCTCATCACACAGGCGTCAGTGACCTGGGCTGCTTGGGTGCTGATCAGGGCCTCTGGGAGAGGAACGGGCACGTGCACACATGGGCGTGTGTACACACGGGCATGCACGCACATACAGGCTTGTGCACACTTGGGCACACACACAGGTCCTTGAAGTCTGTGAGGGATGTCTTTGCTCTGGCTTTCTGGGCTCCTCCTTCTCATCAGGTCGGGCTCTCCTGTCCCTTGTCTGCCCTAAGCAGGAGCACTGACCATGGTCCAGCTGGATGCCTGTCTGCACCCCCAGGCTCCAAGGGGCTCCCCTCACTCAATCAGTGCTGCCTCACGTCCTGCTGGAGAGAGATGTGGGGTCCCGGCTGCCCGCCTTCTGCCGGCTCCTTGGCTCCAAGCGCTATGCGTCCCGGATGTGAGCCTCTGGCCTGTCGGCATCACACATCCCTTCTCTGTCCACCAGGGATGGTCCTTCAGGCCAAATCACGTCTGACCAGCCCTGTCCGAGGCGCTGAGTGGGGAGGAGTTTCGACCCGACTCCATTCCTTGGAGTCAGTTTGTAGAAAGAGGGTCCTCCCTGACCGAGCTCCCTTATCACCAGATCTGGGGGGCAGGGAGGTGCCTTTGCCTGATTGATTGTGGGGAGAAGGGAACTGAGTAACTGGTGCAG